GGGGCGCCAAAGCCGCGCCCAGCCGCGCGCTAGGCACGCTGGCCGCGCCATCGCCGGCGGTCTCCGGCCACGTCGCTGGCGGCCGGTGCCGGCTGGCCGGCCTGGCGACGTGGCACCCTACCCGGCCCAAAGAACCCCTCCACTCCTGGCCCAACATCGCAGCCTATTTGGTCTTCTAGCCCATACCCAATATCCCCATCACGGTCCATGGCTACCATCTCAATTATTTCCTCCCATCCCCAACCCCCAATAAATACTCTGCAGACAACCCACCAGTTTAATTTATATCCATTAAACTTACATCTTCAAACTATTTATTCTGAAACACCCAACTTGTTCCCTTTCTTCGTGAACAAAATCTCAGTGTTCTTCTCAGAATTATATATTGTTCTCATTATGGTATGTAGCTAGACGAAGAAAAGAATAAATTATCTTATAATAAAAACAAAATATAGTAGGTGATGAATGAAACTCATTGAATTTTAAGTACAACATTGTTCATAGTTTCTTACGTTAGCAATCAATGTGAAAATGTAACATATTGCATACGACAAGCTAGGTTGAAAGTATTTGAAGCAAGTAGTCAATTGACAACAAATGTAATGATGCTCTATGTTTAAGAATTAGGAATGTGTTTTTTTTTTTTATTTTCTTTTTCGTGGAGAATAATGTAAATGCTTGTATTTATCCTAACATCATTGTTCATTTTGTCAAACTTGGGTTCTTTAGTTTGGGATCTTTAACGACAAGGCTGTGTCACTTGCTTCATCTATTCAAACATTTAAGGATGATAAAAAGAAGATCACTTTGCTTTATTCCTTTATTATCTTATATAGATAGCATTGAAGCCTGTATGCCATGTATAATTCCATGTTCACACTTTAAATCTTGCATTATATTACTACTGTTTTTTCCACCTTGGAGTGAATGGAGAGGGTTGGCGGAGGTTCGAAGAGTCAAGTGTACCATCCTGTCGTTAAAATATTGTGTTGACCTCCACACAAATATGAGAAAATAAAATTAGGTTTTCGCTGTTAGTTATTATAATTTTTAGCATATATAATGACAAATGTTTGATCGTAGTTGTTCTAGCTATAATTTTTGTGTAATGATATCTTATTAATTGAAGCATTTAAATTTGAGATCTAGAGTTAAAAACGTTGGATTAGTCATACTGCAATATGCAAAAAATAAAATAAAATAAATAAAAATTATAATTGTAGAAAAAGGAAGTACTGTAGTAATTAAATCTTGTCATTTTCAAGAACGGAATCTATCCCCACTTTGTTACTCAAGTTACCATTTGAGAATAAAGTTTTGAAAGAACTTTAAAAAAACTTTATACTCAAATGGTAATTAACTTGAGTATAAAGTTAAAATAATCTTTTGCTTTTATCTAGCAAACAGGGAAAAAACATGCTGGACCTACCGTTTGTCTTAAGAAAATATGTTTAAGAACATTCCCATTTATGATTTTTTTTCATAATATTTGAGAAGAAAATGACTTATATGGAGGAGAGAAGGAGGAGAGATTTTTCTCTAAGAATGATTTTTTTGTGGGGCCCATCCAGAGAGAGAAAAGGAAAAGGAAAAGCACATGCATGTGCGTGGTCTGCACAGACCGCACTCAGTTGGGCACGTAAAGTGCACGTGGCCGCATGCGTGTTAACTCCTCTGTTTTTTTTTTTTTTTTTTTTTGCGTAAAACCTACTTTTTAATTTTAAATTTTTTCTCTTTTTTTCCTTCTTCCTTCTCCTACCTATATATATATATATATATATATATATATATATATATATATATATATATATATATATATATATATATATATATATATGGGTGCACTTAGGTGCAGTGGCGGATCCAGGAATTTTGTTCTGTGCGGTGAAACATTAAAACAAAAGTGATAGCTTAAAAAAGATGAAACAATTAAGAAGTTAGCCATAAATATTGTTAGATATTAGCAGAAAAAAAAAATATTTATAACAAAATATGAAACATAATTAATTTGATAAAATAATTATAATAGAAAACACATTATAAATTACACATCTAAAGTTAGCCATAAATATTGTTAGATATGTGCGAAAAAATATTTATAACAAAATATAAAATATAATTAATTTGATAAAATCATTCTAATAAAAACACATTATAAATTACAGATCTTATTATTAATAGAAAACACATTATAAATTACACATCTTATTATTAATATAAAATTGCATTTCCTTAAGCTAACATGCGTGCTCAACCATCTAGGCTAACTTATTCTCTGTGTAACTTTGACTGTTTTCTTTTACTTGTACTAATAATGTTGTACTATATATACATACGAGGGTTATATATGGGGTGGGGTGGGGTGAGTGGGGGCAGCTGCCCCCATTGTAGCTCCGCCCCTGCTTAGGTGAGAACGGGAGCCTAGGAGAGAACTAAGAAACAATCGCAGTCGTTCATGTGTTCAGGTTCAACGAATCAGATGTAATTTTAAAAAACGATGTGATGATATTTTCGTAAATAACTCAAATTTTGGTGCAAGTAACTGGTGCAAGTTTGCAACTAAAAAGTGCAAGTTAAATCACTTACAAGTGCAATTATTTTCCCTAAATAGTGCAAGTAATTTACGTTGTTAACATTCATGCACCACACCTAATGATAAAGTATTTCACATAGGTGCACTTAATACCATTTTTGTCCCTCGGCACGACTATTAGATAAAAGGACGTTTTTGCCCTCTCTATATCGATTGGTGGATGACAATTGTAATAGAGGACCAAATTGGATATGATTTTACAAGTTAGAAAACTAAATTAAGTACGTTTAAGGGACGTTATGACATGGAACTTTGTTCACCATTCATGGTGAACACGGTTCCAACGGTGTTAGTACACTGTTATCTTTTTTTTTTTTCTTAATTAATTACGTGACTTTTCTTTTTTATTTTCACATTTTGCGGTTTCACTTTAATTTGAGGTGAACAAATATTTCGGACATTCATAAATTATGAATTCATGCATGCACATTCACTTTGGAACCATGCCTACACATTCCCGTCTGAAATCACGGACATTCATAAATTATGAATCCATGCCTGCACATTCACTTTGCAACCATGCCTACACATTCACTTTGGAACCATAAGATTATGAATTTTCTGTTATGAGATTATGAATTTTCAGTTATGAGATTATGAATTTTCAGTTATGAGATTATGAATTTTCTGTTATGCGATTATGAATTTTCTGTTATGAGATTATGAATTTTCATTACATTCATAATTTCGGACATTCATAAATTATGAATTCATGCCTGCACATTCACTTTGGAACCATGCCTACATATTCCCGTCCGAAATCACGGACATTCATAAATTATGAATCGATGCCTGCACATTCACTTTGGAACCATGCCTACACATTCACTTTGGAACCATGAGATTATGAATTTTCTGTTATAAGATTATGAATTTTCTGTTATGAGATTATGAATTTTCAGTTGTGAGATTATGAATTTTCTGTTATGCGATTATGAATTTTCTGTTATGAGATTATGAATTTTCATAAAATTCATAATCTCATAACAGAAAATTCATAATTTGATCAAACGCGCGACATTAACTCCACATCCGCAAATTTTTTATTTTTTATTTTTTGCCTAAAAACGACGTCGTTTTGCCTTGTGTTCACCATTCTCGGTGAACACGATTCCATGGCATAATTTGCGTACGTTTAATAGGTTGAGACTAAATTGCACATTACCTAATAATCGAAAGGACCAAAATGGGTATTAACTCAGATTTGTATTAGTCCATTGGTTATGAAATCAACTCTATAACGGATTTTGTTTATAAGGTTCGTTGGATTTTTTGTTTTTGTTTTCTAAAAAACATTTTTAAATAATATGACTTATGAAAATCCTATGCATATATAAAATGGAATGAAAGTGCAAATAAAAAAATAAAGATAACACTTTTCTTTTTCTAATATCGAAATAAGATAATTATTTCTCATCAATTATTTTTTGAATATTGCACTAATATGTATATTTGTACAAGATGAGACTTATTTCATCCAGTCTTTCATTAATTAGTAATTACTCACTCCAACACATTTTATATATATCTAATTTGGCTAATGATACTTATTTAAATTATTTACATAATATAATACTCTGTATTAAATTTAGTATTAGTATATATATATATATATATATATATATATGTGTGTGTGTGTGTGTGATTTATATATTTAAAAATTAAAATTAAAAGTATTATTAAATCTCAAAAAATCAAAGTTAAAAACAAAAATAATTAATTATAGAATACTGTAATAAAATATATATATATAAAATGGACAGACATATTATTATTATTTAATAACACACACATATATATATATATAGAGAGAGAATCCTAATCATATGAGAATTACTTTTTAGGCCAGGTGAGAACCTGTGGACAAATACAAACCATTGATCTGCAAAATATGATAGATGAAAAATAAGTAAAAAATGAGCGGGTCAATTTTCATAAATAGTATAATTTTTGTTTATTTTCAACCGTTAAATGTACTAAATCAATGGTTTGGATTTGTCCACAAATTTTTACCTGGGACATGGTTCTCACCTGATTAAGGACCCCTATATATATATATATATCTTCAACCAACCCCACCCCTCACCCTCTCCTTTTGGCTTTTTCTTTTTTCTCTAGCTTGTTATGTTTGGTAATGGTGCATGGGACATTAGAGGGACAAGGTGGGGTAGGAATTTGGAGTAAAATCCTACTAAAAGTCCTAAATGGATACCAAACACCCTTTTCTCACCTGTTCCTCTCATTGCCACTCTATGGCCGACCCAACTTCTATGTTGCCATTCCCCTCTTTTTTTCTCTCTCTCTCTCTCTCTGTTTGTGTGTATCTATATATATATATATATATATATATATATATATATATATATATATATATATATACATACACACTCAGACACAGTCACACAGACATGCATTACAGTTGCCCATAACTCTCTCTCCCCCTATATATATATAAGCTAAGCTTGAAAGAAAAGCTAGGTAGTAGTTGGCGTAATAAATTAAAGGTCCAAAAGTACACTACGAATCTCTCTTCATTTTCTTCTGATATGGAACTCGAGCTAGGCCTTGCTCCGGCAGCCCATTTTGTGGATCGGAAATGCTTCGATTTGAACGAGAATGCTGTGTTCGAGAAATACGAGGTAAGGAGGGAGCAGATGACGATGAAGAAACGGAGTTTTGATGAGGCTTTTGAGAATTGCGGCGGCACGGGACGTCAAACGTTGGCGTTGCTTCAGTGGAGTCGGCAGCCCAACGAGGAAGATGACCGAAATGCAGCGGACAGGTTGAAAAACTGCCAAGTTGATCAACGGTAAATCTTCGTCACTTATAATACTTGCTCAATCTTCTAAGAGGTGTCTTAAACAACTCCTAACTTTAGGATGCATCTTTGAATCCCTACTATATTCAAATTAATTTATGTTGGCACGAGATCGGCCTATTTAATCGACAAAGTACTAGTCAAATTGATTATTTTTCATACTAGATGTAGTTCTAACTCTCAACCTCTAGGGATGGAAACAATTTTAAAGTTTCTAAACAAAGTTTTATTCTTTCGATCAAAAGAATGATTATATTTTAGAGCATATATGGTCCCGTTTGGTAACATAGTTAGTTTATCAGTCAATTTTAACTTATTTGACCATTATTAGCTGTTTGACTTAGTTAAACAATCAATATAAGTATTTGATAATTAACTTTCAGTAACAGTTTATTGCTTCAAAATGCTAAAATTTAAAAAATTACTCTCAAAATAGTTTTATAAATCAATTTTTGATAAAGACTACATTTTGTATGTAATTAGCTATCAACTAATAACTAATTTACCAAATATCTTTTTACAAATAAATAATGCTATCAACTAATCAATTTACTAACCCAATCAGTTAATTAACCATTATCAACTAACAGCTATTTACCAAACACCCATTATCATCACAGGGATGTTGAGAAAAAAGGCTTATTAGTGGGGTGGCCACCGATAAGATCATGGAGAAAGAGACAACTACATGATCATCAAGGTGGTGGTTGGGTAGTCATCACAAATGAAAGAATCGTCAATGGTGGTAGAAACTCTACATTCGTGAAAGTGAAGATGGAAGGTGTGGCCATTGGAAGAAAAATCGACCTAAGTCTTTACAATTCATATGAAGTTCTCACAAATGACTTGATCAACATGTTTGCAAGATGTAAGTAATTTGTCATCTCTCAGTTCCCACATATTAAATAATAATTGCTGACATGGACAGCTCAGCTGGTCACAGCTTTACTGGGGTAAAATTTGAGAACAATGACCTAGGATCGAATCTCACCGGCCACAGTGTGGGAATAACCTCTCAAAGTGAGAGGACTCCTTAACTTGTACGCAGTAATCAAATGTCTAGTCTCGTGTTCAGAGTTACCATGATTTACATCTTTCTAGATGCAATGTCGGGCCCGGACCTGGGGCCACGTTAGAATTGGAGATTTAACTTGTTTGAAACAATAATAAATAATAATTTCCATTTCTTTAAATTTAATTTTTAATGTATAAATTTATAAATTTGGTTTCTGTATAGATCAAGATCAAGAATGCGGCAAAAATGGTGGGGGCTATGCCCTATTGTACGAAGACAAACAAGGGAACTGGTTGGTAGCAGGAGATGTTCCATGGATGTAAATATTTTGTACTTTTCAAATTTAATGAATTTAAGTTTAATAATATTAATTTTTTTAAAACAATTATATTAAATTATTAAACTTTAAAAATGTCAAATTTAATATTTAATATTTAATTCAGCAAAAGAAAACGAAAATAATTTAATTTAAAACTTTTTTGCAGGACATTCGTTGGGTCTGTTCACAGGATAGAAATACTAAGGAGTGGGGACTGAAGTTGGAAGATAAGGCAAATTATGAAATAGGGAGAAGTATTTTGTATGTGGAAATATGGTTCCTTATTTTCATTAAAAATTAATTAATGTTGTTCTGTAGAACCCATTAATTAATGTTTGAAATAGAAGGCAGTTTTTACAAACTCTGCTTGGAACTTGATCGAAGTGGTTGATTAAGTTGTTAGCATGTCAACATAGCTCTATTATATTTTATTTATGTATTTATTTCTGTTTGTTCTTAAAATTGTACAATTTCAATCAATGAGGACAAAATAGGGGTGTAAATGTGTAATTGACTTAATCAAATTAAAGGTCAAATATTGTTAATTACGGAGTAATTAGTTTGAGTTCAAGCTCAACTTAATATTTTAAACTGAAAGGTTGATTTGTTGGTTGGAGCAAGCTAAAAGTATAGAGGAAGTTGAAAATAGATTTTAAATTTTAAAAATTTTGCACGCAAATTAAAGTGTGCATAACAAAATTAAATTTTTTGTTTGTCTTGTTTGGAAGTAAATAATACATTAAGAGTTTAATTAATTAGTTTGAAAGCGCTTTATATTAAAGTTAGTTGATATATGGGTCGTGCAAATATAAAGTACTGAATATAAATTGTGTAAAGTAAAATAGAAATAGAGATTTTATAGTGATTCGGCAGGTGATATAAATAAATCTCCTAATATCTCTTTATTAGCAACTAACGTATAACGCACATTATCAAGTGGCTTGTAATTCATTGGTATCGGGTTGCTCCCCTAAGTAGGAGGTGTAAGGTTTGAACCTCATTTGAGACAAATAGTGTGTATATGTAGGATATCCCCTTCCTTATAATACTAAAAAAACGTATGACGCACATTTTCCATGAAATTCCTTTGTTACTTGACTTCTCTAAAAACAATCTTCCATCAAGTCCCAAAACAATTTTCACAACTCAAGTATTAATGTAATCATATTAGAACCAACCTAAATCTGCGAATTGGGAATTTGTGAAAGATTGTACCGCACTACATGATTGCACTGCACTCGGATAGAATTGCATCACAAGGTCCTCCAGAATGCAATCCTTCACAAATTCGCAGTTCGTAGGTTAAGGTTGGTTCCCACATGATTAAAAAACCCATAATATATATATATATATATATATATATATATATATATATATATATATATATATATATATATATATATATATATATATATATATATATATAGAAGAGCGCTCATATGCGGCGGGGTCTTACGGTGCGGCGGTGCGGTCAAATTCCAGAATACACCAACAGTGTTAACAATATGCACCAACAGTGTAATAAAAACACACCCCAATGAAATGTAATAAAACATCACAAAATACACCACAGACTCAAAAAAACACACCATATAACTCACCACCCCCAATGGTGTATTTTCGAACAGTGTATGGTGCTTTTACTCACACCTAATGGTGTGTGTTTGGTGATGCAGGGCTCTGTTTACTCTGTTTTGTGTGGTGTATTTCCTAACGTTGATGGTGCATATTTGGTGAACTATTGGTGTTGCCGCACCGTAAGAAATAACCGCACCGTAAGACACTGCCGCACCTGAACCCGCCTCTATATATATATATATATATATATATATATATATATATATATATATATATATATATATATATATATATATATAGTGAAAGGTTCCCGTGCGGTTGGATGCTTCCCGTGCGGATTAAGTATAAATCTCAGGCACATTGAGTACAAATCTCACGCACATTAAGTATAAACCTCACGCACATTAATCCACCGCACATCCGCACGGGAAGCCACAAATGCACCTGATCCCTATATGTATGTATATATATATATATATATATATATATATATATATATATCTTTATATTTTCTTTATCTTTATCTTCTTTATATATAATAAAGCAGAATCTAGCCACAAAATTTTCCCTCCAAAGTATGAATGCATTTTGATAGAAACAAGATTAGCAAGTATGAATGCATTAATTGTGTGGGTAGGTGTATTTATACATATTTTTTTGAAGTTATTATGTGTATTTATATTTTATAAATTATATTTTATTATTATAGCTCTATCTCTATCTCTATATACGGAGTATATTAAAGCATAATGAAGTACGGAAAAAAGTTTATTGTGTTCAAATTTATTGGTAAAGTTTTATATTTAATATAATTTGTGTAGATATTCATTTAAACCTAAATTATAAGTTTTGCTTGACATGATGAAAGCTTTTGATAGGGTTTCTTGGCCTTTCCCACAAGCGATTCTTGACAGAATGGGCTTTCCTACGATGTTTACTAATCTCATTCTGAACAACCTGCAGGCGACAAGGCTGTCAGTGCCGGGTTTTTTCAGCCAACTCGGGGAGTTAAGCAAGGCGACTCTCTTTCTCCTTTACTCTTCATCCTAGCTTCTGAAGCTTTGTCCCATTCGTTGATTTTAAAGATGGGCACAGGTGCACTATCCCCGTTTTCAACAAGCTTGTGATGCCTGGTAATCACTCACTTGGCTTTTGCTGACGGTATTGTCATTATTATTAATGGCTCGTCAACTTCCTTAAAAGCTTTAGTAGAGGTTTTGAAGATGTATCAAGATGGGTCCGGACAGAAGATAAGCTACTGAGCTTTTTCATCACTTCTAAACACTGCACCAACCAGAGGGCGGCTGTTATGGCCTGAATACTTGGGATGCAACGATCTTTTGCTCCTTTTCGTTATCTGGGGGTGAATTTATTTAAGGGCCGAAATAAACCCTACTTCTACCAGCTCCTCTTGGAAAGAGTTGACGGGAAACTAGTCTGTTGGCAGCGTAAGCTGCTTTCGCCTGGTGGGCGGTTGATTCTTATCAAGCATGTTCTCGCCATGATCCCGTTGTACACGATAGCTTCAGTGCCCTTACCTCGACAGATTGAGAACATGTTGGTTTCCAAGTTTGCTAAATTTTTCTGGGGAGTTGCTGATGGAAAGCCAAAAAGGCACTGGGCAGCCTGGGAGAAACTTTGTTATCCAGTAGATGAAGGCGGTTTAGGGATTCACCGACTTGACACTTTGCAGCGTGCCTTTTCCGCCAAACTTTACTTTCACTACTTGCAAGGAGGTTCTCTCTGGAGTGATTTTCTAAGCGTTCGTTATCCTGATAATTAACCTAGAGCTTCAGATTCTATCACTTGGCGTCGTATGTTAGCCATTAAAAGTTTTGCGGAGGATAATATCACATCTGTTGTAGGCGACCTTGTGTGGACCCCATCCCCCTTCGGTGATTTCTCTATTGCCTCTGCGTATGAGTTACTTCGGCCTAAAGCTGAGCGTATTATGTCTTCGGCTTGTATCTGGGAGAAGACTATACCAACCAAGATTTCCGTCTTCATGTGGAGATTGCTGAAAAAGCTGCTGCCTTTCCCAGATATAATTCAAAAATTTTGGTTTTCATGGACCTTCTATCTGCCCTCTTTGCTGTGAGAGTGTCGCAAGTCTTGAACATTGCCTTCTTCAGTGTTGCGTGGTACAGCAGGTTTGGGTTCACTTCGGTTTGAATTTTTTGGCTATTCCATTAGCTCTGCTTTGACTGTGAGGGACGGCTTGCCAGTCGTGGTGGCTTGCGGCGTCTCCAGGATCACGAGCTGGAAACTAGCTGTGTTTGCTGTCATGTCTGGTTCTCTGGTTTCTGTGGATTTCTTACAATGAGTGCATATACGACGATTCCAAATTCTCTCATGTCGGTGTCATTAAAAGGATCAAGCGCGAATCGACCCTCATCTCTCTTGCTCATCCGCCGCGGCGGCTGGGAACGCTGGGTGATTTACTCCTCTCGGAGGGCTTGATCGCTAGGCTTGCCCCTCCACAACGGTTTACGTCAGTTTGGGTGAAGTGGCTAACACCACCTTCGGGAGATTGAAGCTCAATAGCGACGCGACTTACTCGGAACACGACGCAGCAGGAGGAACATGCTTTAGAGATCACCGGGGGCATCTTGTAGCGGCTCTCTCCTTTCGCCTCGAAGCTACATCTGCCCTTGAAGCCGAGACCAAGGAGCTGGCCTTTTCCCTACGCTGGTGTTGTAACACCCCACTTTTCTAACTCTTAATTATAACTCTAAACAGTCATTAACATCACTAAGCAGCGGAAAACTAAAAGATAAATAGTGGGAGTGTCACCGCCACAACCACCACTCCGTGGTGATTGCACAGGCTAAAGGGTTAAAACTAGAAATAAAGTAAAAGTCGGGCATCCATCATAAAACTAAAAACATAAGGGGGAAATACGCCACCCCAAAATAGTCTACATCAAACCTCAAAACATAAAGTCATAAGCAAGGTTGAAAAAATCACTAGGCGCCATCTAGGCGCCTGGGGACCGCCTAGGGCGCCTAGAGCGATTAATCGGCGCCTAGAGCGCTTAGGCGGGCGCCTAGGGCGCCTCGGCGGCCAACCGCCTAGCGCCTAGGCGCCGATTAATCGTCGCCTAGGCCCGATTTTTGCAACACTGGTCATAAGTCTAAAATCCATACATAATCATCAGTGGAACTAGAGTTTAGATATCTCTATCTACGAGACTAATCTAACTCGACTTCTTCACACTGCTAGGCCCACCTGAAAGGGGTTTTGCAAGCAACACATAGACAAATAAGAAAACACCCGTTAGCACGAAGCTAAGTATAACCACACTCAACCCTGTAAAGCATTCTAGCATTTACTTTGAAAACATTTGATTCCTTTATCAGCGATAAGCTCATCTCAAATCATCTTTAGATTTATCACATTCTTTCTAGATGCTTGCACCCTATAATATCAGCTAGCATGCTCATATATGTATAAGACTGTTCACATAGATTCGTCAACATATAAGCTTCTCAAATAACTTAACAAGCAATTTATGCTTACGGATAGGATCATGCTAAAAGACCATATAACAGGTGTTCACATGCTTTCACATTCTTAACACATAACTTGATAAGTAGAGCTTTTAGTACCACAAGATAATCATGCTCAAAGGAATATCTTAAGTCAAGCTTCTCGTTATAAAATCTCATACGATACTCTAGTCGCATGCAATCACGTATAACACTATAATCATACTTCTTATGCAATCTCATGCAATACTATGTACATTCTCATATGCAATCTCGTGCAATTATATACTCATTCTCATATGCAAACTCATGCAACGATATAATCATACTCTTATG